GGTGAGCTCTGTTTGTTAAATGATACATTCTCACTTGTATTTGGATCTTTTTCCAGAATTTATACTCTGGCACCAGGAGATATCTCTAGCGATGAGTGATACTACACCGTGCTGATGATGAAGCTTAGAACTCCATTTCAGCTGAGCTACTTGGATGCACACCTGCAGTAGTCAGCCCTGCCTGCTCCTCACTCTGGTGCTGTGCTGTGTCACATCTTGGTCCCCTGAGGTGTCTCACTGCCCACTCCTCCCTGGCCTTCCCTGATGGCAAATGACTCCTGATATTTTGTAAGAAACTCTCCTAGTCACTTTCCGGTGTCACAAGACTATAGGAGTTTCCTGTCTTGTAAATGTATTTTCCTCATAAGCATAAACCTCTAGAAATCACCATTCACTAAATAATAGGAAGCAGCATCCTGTTTTTGTCATGAGAAATTGGTTCCAACCCAAGATTCTTAAACAACGTCAGCACTGAAAACAATACGTCTTTCCCACAGTTGAAGCCTATTCTCTTGGCATCTTTCCTCATATGTCAGCTGGACTTTCACCAGATTCTCATTTGATTAGAAGTAAAGTTTGAAAGTATTCACAACTTAAAGCTGTTAGGTAAATTTGGGAAAAGATGGTGATACTGTTAAAAAAAGGAAAAACTTTCTCCCTATTAATATTTATCTTGAGTTAAAATTTTAAATTTTGAACTATGTTTAATAAATACATTCAACAGTTAAATCTCAGGTTTGCTCAGGTGGTCATGAAGAAACAGATGCATTAGTTTTGTATATATAAATAATACCTGTCTTCAGAACATTTATTACAACTGTTACACGGGCCAGCTTTTAGCAATGAAGCAACCTATTAGAAAAGAATGTTTTTAAAAAAAAATAAACAAGTTCGCCTTGGCTGGTGTGGCTCAGTGGATTGAATGCCAGCCTGAAAACCAGAAGATCACTGATTTCATTCCGGTCAAGGCACATGCCTGGGTTACAGGCCAGGTCCCCAGTTGGAGACAAGCTAGAGGCCACCAATTGATGTGTCCCTTGCACATGGATGCTTCTCTCCCTCTCTCTCTCCCTTCCCATCTCTCTAAAATAAATAAATATATACAATCTTTTTTTAAATCCTTGTAAGAAGAACAACTTCAAGATTTCCATCTAATAGGAGCAGAAGCTCCATATAGAGCATTTATATTAAATAAGGTAAAAATTGAATGTTTGTCAATATTGGATGGCCTCAAATAGTATTGCTCAGCATGCTCTTTGTGTCTAAGAAATAAGGTCCACTCAACACTCTACTCCACAGAGAGATTGAGGAAGGAAAATTCTGGGTAAAGTGAGAGCTTTCAGGGAAAAAATACACACAGCAAATCAGACAGTGCCAAAGTATTGTTTTAATTAAAAATTTAAATATGTCAGGTGGAAGAGATCCCTGGGGCAGAGATGACAACTTTTATTAAAAGAGCATCTTATGTTTAAAAAGAACACACTATTTTGAGGTGCATGAAACAAGTGCTTTCACCTACATTAATTTAAAAATTTAAACCCGCTATAGTGAGAAAAATCGGCAACATCACAAATAAAAAAGGTAAATGTGAACTACTTTATACTGATATTAAGCTTTAGTACTTGTTTTTAAATTTAAAATGAATATTTAACTTATAGTAGGGTATGTGTCATTGTAGTGAAGCAACTCCTGCATATTGAAATTCTGTTAAATACAATGTATACTGAAATGATAAATAATGATGTGAAATCACTTCACAATACTGAAAACTGTAATATTGAAGAATATTTTCTAGGTATAGATAATATTATAGAAAACTTCATTTTCAGCCAACATAGCAAATAAATTTAATATTTATGCATTCAGCTTGATATTATAATAGGAGATTTGAAGTGAAACGATCCATGAAATAAATGTCCAGCCATTAGGGAATCCAAAGAACATTTATTTTAACAGGAAAAAGACAAAATTAAGTACCTTTTTAAATATAAAATTTTAAGTATTTTATTGATTTCAAGATTTAATTAGACTTTTTATATCAAATATATAAATATAACTGAAGCTTAGGTAGCTTCTTATATGTAACAAATTAAAACATTCCCTTAATTATTTGGATTTATCCAAGGAATGAAAGCTGGAATTTAAAATAAAACTATTAAAGATTGAATTTGATTTCCTTGAATAATAAGAACTTAAACATTTACAAGAAAGAATAGTAATTTAGATAATCTTGTTAAAGCACAAAAAAGTAAATCTATTTTTTCTACCTTGTTCTCCTCTAGAGAAAACCATGCACAAATTTTGCATATTTTATATTATACATTTATGATTTTATCACCAAAGATTGGGTTTGTGCCATTACAAAGTATATATATATATATATATATATATATATATATATATATATAATATTTCTTATATATATCTTATATATATAATAAAGATATATATAGATATCTTTAGCAACAGAAGCCACTTTATTGAAGTAATAAGTTAAATTACTTACATTAAATGCTACCATTCATAAATATGATACTTAAAAACTGGATTACACCCTGGCTGGTGTGGCTCAGGGGGTTGAGTGCCAGCCTGTGAACCAAAAGGTCACTGGTTTGATTCCAGTCAGGGCACATACCTGGGTTACAAGCCAGGTCCCTGGTTGGGGTGTGGGAGAGGCAGCCAATTGATGTTTCTCTCACACATAGATGTCTCTCTCTCTCTCTCGTTCTCTCTCCCTCCCCCTCTAAAAATAAATAAATAAAATCTTTTCTAAAAGTTGGATTACATGGTATGTTAATTCTTTTCTCCCTTGTAAGAATAATGGTTTCACTTAAAAAGTGTTTCATGCTTTACTTAGTTTTGGAACCAGGCATATTCTAAAATGTATATTGGTCTCAAGTAGAAAAATAGTCACAGTCCTCATCTCTCAGATCATTTAGTGATAGTAAGAGAAAAGGCTTCCAAAAGGAAGGAGCCAGATTGCAACACTAAGGGCTGGAGAGTGATGAGTAATCTTAGAATTAGGTCCACAGATTAGAGATAAGAATACAAACAAAAATATTGGCAGAAAATTCATGGAGAATTTTATAACACTCTGATGATTGCTTTAAGATCTCATTCCTGTCCTAAATTAAACATGTGATGCACACATAAAGTAAGTTAGAGGGTATTTTTTCATGCAGTTTAGAAGACCACAGAGTAAAATTTAGAAAAATAAAATTTAGTTTGTAATAAAAACAATAATAGCTAGTATTTATAAATACGTTTATAAATGTCAGGACTTCTTCAAGTTGCTTTTGGATACATTAAATGAATTAATTCATGTTACAATTCTAAGTATTTATATGTTGGTTAGCCAATTATAAACTCGAGTGAACTATGGCACAGAGTATTAAGCAATGTGCGAGAGGTCACACAGCCAGCAGGTAGAGAAACTACAATTCAAATCCTGTCCATCTTGGTAGGATTACATTCCTCATCCATGGCGCTATAGTTACCCTCTGTTTGGAGGACATGGTTCAAACACACCAGGACACAGAAATGAAAAGCAGTGCTGAGCCACATCTTGAGCCAAGAGATGCTTGGGATGCGATATCTAAGGAGGACCACACCTTCAGGATGGTACAGGGCAGAATCAGCCACCCTTGAAAGTGAGTCAGTGCCTCTCAAATTGTATACCCAAGAGTGTCACTCACTTTACTCCAGTCCTGGAGTGAATGGAAAACAATGGGAAAAAGTAATTACCAACAGAAGAAACTCAATAACCTTATTAAGTACAATTTTACTAGGCGATGTGTTACAACTCTGAGGGATAAAAAGTTAGGAACATAACTCATATTCATATTTATAATTATGAAACCATAACCAATACCAGATTAAAAGTGATAGGCAATTTTACCTACTATATTATTGGAAGTAAAACTTAGAAAATGTAAGCAATTGCTTAATTTCACAGAGTTTGGAGTTAGGATTCACACTCAAGTCCAATAATTAAGAAAAGAAATCCTAGGCTCTGACTTGTCATCATAAAACTTTTGTGCAAATGTTCCAATTTTCTTAAGCTATCCAAATTAAAATAGCAATACATTGGGAAAAAAAGAACTTTTGTGCAAATGATCAAAGTATCTGCCATTAATCAATGTCAGTATCTTTATGTCTAAAAAAAAGGGAGTTTAGAAATGCTCACCTAAAGTGTTCTTTCTAAAGAACTACAGAGATAGTGGAGGGGCACTCAGCACATGCGGTAAACATCCCAGGTAAGACATTTCCCCCTGCCACACACGTGCACACAGGTGAGCTCCCACATTCTAGGCCAGTTCTGTGTGTCCAGGGTTTCCTCTTTCCTGCTTCTCTCCATGTCTGTGTTCCCAGGCAGATTTTCCAGATAGAACCCTCTTATATTCCCCACTCAGTTTTCTACTAAAAATAATTTGTTTTATTCTACTATGTGCCATAAAATTCTCTCTCTCTCTCTGTCAACTACCTAATAATATGAACTGTATAATAAGGACATGTATGTTCAAGGTAATCAAATGATGGAAGAGAAATGAAGGTTTGCAATAGGCAGTTGAAAAAGTATAAGGGAGACTTTTTTATTAAATACTTTTGATTTTTATTGTTGTTCAAGTACAGGAAGACAATTTTTAATACAGAGCTGGATTGTCAAGAAGCATAATTCACGAAAAGGGAGATTACATGGCCAAGCTGTGGGTCTGTGTTCAGCAACTCCCAATTTCTCCAGTGTCTGTGTTGAGCAGGACATAGTTTGGTTTATTCTGGGCTGTATTCAGAAAGTATGAACAATGATCTTAAAAATAATTTAAGGGAATTTTACAGTGATAATCTGTAATGTCTATACTGAGAAAATGAGAAATGTATTAATTAGAAACCATTGCAGTGATCTTGAAAACCAATCTTCACATCCAGATACAATTTAAAGAAGAGGCACTCATCCATGAGGGTAAAAATAAAAGCACACTGTTAATTTCCTCTGTCCACAGATGAAGCACCAAGAAAAGCCACCAGAGGGAAATATGACTGAACTGATGCAATTTGTTCTCCTGGACTTTGCTGATGTTCCCCATCTCCAGTGGTTTCTATTTGGATTATTCTTAATCGTCTATATCATGATATTGATAGGCAATGGCACTGTATTTCTAATAACGAAACTAGACCCTGCTCTCCAGACCCCAATGTATTTTTTGTTGGGCAATTTTTCCTTTTTGGAAATCTGCTATGTGTCAGTTATTCTCCCCAGAATGCTCACGAATCTTTGGACCCAGAGAAGAAGAATATCTTTAGTTGCCTGTGCTGCACAAATGTGCTTCTTCCTCATGCTGGGAGCCACTGAGTGTTTCCTTCTGGCTGTGATGGCCTATGACCGCTATGTGGCCATTTGTCACCCTCTGCACTATCCTCTAGTTATGAACCACAAGGTCTGTGTCCAGCTGGTGGCTGGCTCTTGGATGGGTGGCATTCCAGTCCAAATAGGGCAGACATTCCAGATTTTCTCTCTGTCCTTTTGTGGTTCTAACCTCATCAACCACTTCTTCTGTGACATCCCCCCAATAATCAAGTTGGCCTGTGGGAACACCACTGTCAATGAAATGATGGTCTACATAGTCGCTGTGCTGTTTGTCACAGTTCCATTTCTGTCAATCCTTGCCTCCTACGGCAAAATCATCTCTACAGTTCTTAAACTGCCATCAGCCACAAGTCGGGCCAAAGCCTTCTCCACCTGCTCATCTCATCTTATAGTGGTGACACTGTTCTTTGGATCGGCCACTATCACTTATTTAAGACCCAAGACCCAAGACTCAGCAGGAACTGACAAAGTGCTTTCTCTTTTCTACACCATCGCGACGCCCTTATTTAACCCCATGATATACAGTCTAAGAAACAAGGATGTCATAAAGGCACTGAAGAAACTGCTATGTAAATAATCTACTTCACTTATAAAAGGTGAGCCTATTTACAGGCATTGATTGATGTCTCACAGATCTTTAATAAAATTTCAACAGCTGTTTATCTTAAAATCAATTTATCTATTTCCATATTAAAAGTTAGTTAAAACTTTGAGAGACTTTCTGTCTTCAGTTGAAAAGTTGTACATGTGTCCAGAAATAGTGAATCACTCTTAGGTGAGTGGTATAATTTTATTGTGAAATGTTCCTTTTCAGTAAGAATTTTTGACAAGGATCAATGTAATGGATTCGATTGTAATATAGTCTCTGCTATAGCATATATTGGAAACTATGTCACTCATTTTCATAATTTGTCACAGAAATTTTTAAAACCAGATTGGTAATGGAATATTAATTAACATTTTATGTCTATTTAGGCCTAGCAATGACTTGATAAAGAAATTATGTTGTCAGAGAAGAAAAACATCTTTCATTAGGAATGTAGTTTTCTACAATAAATGATGTTGCTATGATGATACCAGTGAGTGTTAGGCAGGGTTTATGTGTATATCAAATTAAATATTTTATATAATATAATCCACTGATATGATAGAACAACTATTGTTATTAAAATATTTGCTTATAATAAGAAGAGCTTGGAGTACTTATGGGAATGTTCACAAGTTACTGTTTTTAAGTATATTTTCCTAGAGATGATAAACAGAAGAGGAAATCTAAGGGAAGGGAAATAAATGTGCATAAAAGTGAGCACCTCCTATAAAAACACAGGTATCACACTCATACTTTGTGCACCAAGTATGCACACACATCAGAAATGATCGAGAAGAATATAATCATTGATGTTAACTATGAGAATCTCAGAGTAAATCATTTTATTAATTTTCTTTGTTTAACTGAAATTCAGCAGTGTATTACAATAAACCTGTGGTATTTATGCAATCATACAAAGCAGAAAATAAATTTGATTCATTGTGAGTGTGAGTGCCGTTCTTCTGTGGATGTTATTTTCCAACTCGTGTGCTTGGCTAATGAGCCCTTGACACAAACAGGCAACAGGTCTCTGCAGGATCAGGACCTGTCACCAACTCTCAGAGTTTAAAAGAATGTAATGAAGCTTGCAAAGTTCTTAAAGTTTTTTTCCCCATTAAAAAACATGTCAATTTTGCTTACATTTACATGGGAATGATTCACTCCACATAAGTAGACAAGATTAGTATTACTTTCTCCCAGATGATGTATGAACCACCCTGATAGAAACCTAGGAAAAGAATCAATTTTGGCTGAGAGCAAAGTAAGCAATTAATGAATCACCAAGATTCTAAGAAAATGCAGCTATCAGAAACTATAAAAATCTAATGGAAATCAGTGCATACAGGGGAAAAAAAGAAAAAAAAATGTAATAACAAAAAATTGCAAGAAAATTCCCAAGCAGAAATTGCATAACCCTGAACTATCATAAGTGGGAAGAACTGAGACAGAAATTGAAAAGTCCTTCATTTTCATTGCCCTTCCTGTATAATATAGAAAAAATGTTTGAGAGAGAAGAGATAACAAAAAGAAAAACATTTAAAAATATTAATATCTCTAATAGATACTTTTTTATTGTTGTTCAAGTACAGTTGTCTCCATTTTCATCCCACCACAGGCCCCTGCCCTACCTGTCCCTGCCTCCCACAATCCAATCCACCCCCTTGACTCTGTCCATGTGTCCTCCATACATGTTTCTTGATAGACCTTCCCCTATTTTCCCCCGTTATTCCTCTTCCTCTCCCCTCTAGTAACTGTCAGTTTGTTCTTTATTTCAATGTCTCTGGTTCTATTTTGCTTGCTTGTTTGTTTTGTTGAATAGGTTCCACTTTTAGGTGAGATCATATGGTATTTGTCTTTCACTGCCTGACTCATTTCACTTAGCATAATGCTCTCCAGTTCCATCCATACTGTCACTAAGAGTAGGAGCTCCTTCTTTCTGCTGTCTAGTATTTCATTGTATAAATGTACCATAGTTTTTCTTTTCCACTCAGTTACTGCTGGGCACTTAGGTTGCTTACTATTTTCTTACTTTAAAAATCTCTATAACTTTGCTGGTAATATTGTTGCTTTCATTCCTCATTTTAATAATTAGTGTCATCTCTGCTGTTCTTGATTAATTTTCCTAAATATTTGTCAAGTTTTTCAAAGAACCAAGCTTTAGTTTGGTTGGTTCTATTATTTCTATTCTGTATTTCACTTTTCTATTCTAATAGTTATTTTATTCCTTCCACTTGCTTTTAGTTTAATATTTTCTTCTTTTTCTTATTTATCAAGGTGAGATCCTTTTGTTTTACAGCATAGGTATTCACAGACATAAATTTTCCTCTGGGGACTGCTGTTTGCTCATTCCCTTAGTTTTGGTGTGTTGTATTTTCATTCACATTTGTCTCAAGATATTTTCCTATTTCCTTTGTGTTTTGTCATATGGCTAGTAAACAACATTGGTTGTTTAACAGTAAGTTGTGGCATTTCTACATATTGGTGAATTTTTCAGTTTCCTTTCTGTTATTACTTTCTAATTTCATTCCTTTGCAGTGGGAATAGATACTCTAGATGATTCAATCATTTTAAATTTATCGAACTTTGTTTAGTGACCTAACCTGTAGCTGAGCCTGAAGAATTTGTCATGTTCACTTGAGAAGAACATGTATTCCAGTATGTTTGGGTCATACATATTTCAGTTCTAGTTGGTTTATAGTGTTGTTTAAATACCCTATTCCCTTATTGATCTTATTTCTAGTTATTGTATACATTATTGAAAATTGGATATTGAAATCTGTAACTCTTATTGTAGAACTGTCTAGTCTCCCTTTAATCTGTCAATTTTTACATTTTTGTTTATAATATCTCTCTTTTATGGATTGATATTTTTATCATTATATGTTGTCTTGCCTTTTCTCTTGTAACAATTTTTGTCTAAAAGTCTTTTTTTTTGGTGTGATAATAACATAGTCACTCCATTTCCCTAGTTACTGTTTGCATGTAGTCTTTAAATTAAATAGCAACAAAAAAAAAATGTTATGAACCAGAAACACCAACATCAGCTGTGAAGCACCACCAGGAAGGGTGCCTGAGCCCAAAGAATTCACCCAAGGCACAGCTGCAGGCTTCTGCGCTGAAGGCCTGCAGAGCATGCAGCTCCAGGGAGAGAGGGACTGTTTAATTATTCTGCGAGGGGAAGTAATTCATGATTGTCTGAGAAGGTAGATTTCTTTCACCACCTGAAAATACACTCTCAAAGTTCTAGTGGAAATTTCATCTCAAAGTTGAGATGCTGTTTTTTCTTTTTTTTTAATTTTTAAGATTTTATTTATTTATTTTTAGAGAGGGAAGGGAGGGAGATAGAGATAGAGATAGAGAGAGAGAGAGAGAGAGAGAGAGAGAGAGAGAGAGAGAGAGAGAGAGAAAGAGAGAGAAACATCAATGTGTGGTTGCTGGGGGTCATGGCCTGTAACCCAGGCATGTGCCCTGGCTGGGAATCGAACCTGGGACACTTTGGTTCCCAGCCCACGCTCAATCCACTGAGCTATGCTAGCCAGGGAGATGCTGTTTTTTTAAGCTAGTAAACATATGGCTGTTATTTGTTGTCTATTTTTTAACTGTTTAAATATTTTATCTATTTAATTCTTAAAACAATGGCATGTGTTATTAGTTCCACTTTGGAGATGAGATAAATTGAGGCCAAGAAGAAATAAGTAACTAATTTCAAGTTAAGAAAGCATATACATGGCACAGCTTAGATTAGAGTGGATTTGCATTTATCCAATGTCTGTGTGCTTTAACTAAGCTGTTACTCATGTTAGTGAGCCAGTTATAACTGGGGTTTCTCAGTTGTTTGATGCATCATCACTCTTCTGCCCAAGTAATTTCTATCTAGTTGATAGTTAACAGTGCAAGTGTGTAGTGTACTTGAGTATATGTTTGGAAAAGCATGATGGATTGGGTTACCTCATAACAAGGTGGAATCACAAATGCACCAAGTGGGCTCACACAGGTACCTTATGCACAATTCACCAAGAGATGCAGCACAGCTCAATTCCCAAATTTGTTAATCTTCCCACACCCTCTCTTACTTATCTAATGTAGACTTTGGGTAATTTTTTTGGCTACAGCTTCATTACTTCCTTCAGAATACCTTCCCTGAACATTCTACCTCCACCCCTGTTTATATTACAAAGACTTAGAACTCTTGATTGTTTTATAGTGCTCACCACATTCTCTTTTCTAATTAATTGAATGCTTATAACATGAGAGCAGGGACACTATCTGGGCTGTAGAGGACTACTTGTGTTTAAATTTCAGTCCTGCCATTACTCATTCCTGATCCTGGGTGATTTACCTAAACTCACAGTGCCTCAGTTTCCTCATTTGTAAAATGGGAATAATAATAGTACCCATCACAATGGGTACTGTTATTATATCATGTATTTAACACAAGGCCTAGCATATGTCACTCAATAGTTATTTTTATTTTTATCATTGAACAGCACTGCCTGGTACTCTTAGATGTTCAATGAACATTTATCAGAAAAACAAAGAAATGAAGAATCCAGGTTATGGCTGTAGTCTGATGATTATCCCAGTCTTGTAGATGAATTCTAACCCTTTTCAAAATGTGAAGGGAGAGGTAGTTGGTTGCCATCTTGGCAAAGACTCTTTAGATTAATTTCTCTTCCCTGGAGGAAATAGCACAGAGGTGAGTTGCCCACGTGAGTAAAACTCATCTCTATGTTGTGAGAATTAAAGGAGTTGAGGAGTGGGACTGAGAATTTCTTGGCAGAGTGAACCACAAAGGCAACATCTCTCCCTGACTCTTCTGGTGCTAGATGTGAGCTTCTACACAAATGATGGGAGAAGGCAGGGCAAGTCCCAGGGACCAAACTCTAAGGCTCAGCTCTGAAATAAGGCTTGAAGAATTGCCTTCAAGGGGTTCCTTATCCAAGAGACCTTTAATCAACTGCTGATGGTTTGGTAATTGGATTTGCTTT